AAGGGAGAGATACTGCAGTGCAGTACTGATCTTTTCTGCAATCAGACGTGCAGACTAGTCCAAACCCTGAGTCAGCACAATTTCTTTTTTGATTGGTTGATCTGAGTAACATACTTTCAATTTATGCTAAAGTGGCAGCAATTAATACATTTCCCCCTCTCCCCGCCTTGCAAAAAACCTTTGAATCAAATGCACAAATCTCATCCCCAAAGTCACGCTCTGGTCCTAAATATTCTAAGGCTCTTTCATTTTTAATTTAGGGCATTAAAAAAAAATTTGCAATCCAAGCTATGCTCACTTTGATCGACTTGTGCTGCAGCAGCTAAAATATCTGTCCTGCAGGTCAATCTAATCATGCTTAATAGCAGTTTATTCTTCAACGCACCATTTTTCACATTGGGTCGACAGTTTTAAATGAGATTGCTGATGCACCCCTTTACTAATGCTTTTACCAGGGCCAGCACATGCTTTGAAATACTTGTGCAATAAAATGCTTTATTGCGCTTGATGAAAGCACTATTAAACTTGAATTGCAAACAGACTTTTTTTAGAAGGGGGTACTGAAATTTATTTGGCCACCTGCTCTAAATATATAAAATAATAATTATTATAATCACTTGCCATCAACATGAACAAACAAACAAAACCTAAACACCCACTGGGAAAATTGTACGTCACAAATCGTCCTTGTGCTCTCTTGAGTGTGTGCAAAATAGCCATTTTATACCCGGGGATGGTTTCGCTTACATGCGGAAAATTCATTTCTAAAATGGCTGGATTTTGTGAGGCATAGTATAGGAAAATTTTAACTAATTTGGTCCACTGGATTTACGGCTTTTATAATTCTCAAAGCTACTGTTTCCACAACTGGCATTTCACAATCCTCAATTTGCTATTTGGATGACAGCACCTGAATTTCCCATCTGGTTCCAATAGAATTACTTGCCTAACATGAACTGCGGAGGGATTCTTAGGAACAAACTTAGATTGGACTGGAAAAATGGGAACAAATCTCTCTTGTACAGAGAACAAAATGGAAATAACGTGAATCTTCATTTCAATTGATGAGTTCTGCAGGGATGGGGACTGTTACAATTTTAATTAAAGAAAGAACTATCAACCAGGCAGTGAGAGTAGCCTAATGTTTTTACAAGGACCTGGGGCCCAATCCGTCTCCCACTGAAGTTGATGGCAGGCTCCCCCTTCCTTTAACTTGGATGGGCACAGGACCGGAGCTCAACTTTTGATGTTCACTCAGTACCATATGCTTTTCATTCTCGTGTGCTCTCCATGAGGCTGTGTTAAGAAGCACAGAGATGGAATCATAGAATCAAAGGGTTAGAAGGGACCGCAAAGGTCATTTGCATTGTTACAGGGAATCAAGTGGGGACAAGAGGGAATTGTAATGGACGTCAGCAAAGTTAAGATCCAGATTTGGGCATTTAGCAGAGCTACAGCAGAAGGCCTCATCGCTGAGCTATACTCTACCGTATGCTGCTCCTTAAAGCACATCACCCCATGCCTTTATCTCCCCTCCACTCATTTTCCTTCTGCCAAGATATTAAAATACCGCAAAGGCGTCGCTTAAAATTATAGCTTCCAAAATATTTACATAAAAATAAATCTGAATGCTTAGTTACTTCCTCATATTAGTAATTCCATAGGATTAACAAGCCTATTAATTTAAAGAGGGAAAAAGTAGGTAAAAATGGTATTAGGAATGCAGGTACCTATTGTAAATCAGAACCAGTGTCCCTAAGCACAAGAGCAACACTAAGCATCGGAAAAGTTTTAGTGAAACCTGAGCTGGGAGGAAAATGGTAGCAACAGAAAGGTAAAATTTGTTTTCTATCTGTGACACTGAGAATCTCTCTCATTTTTAATTCCGTGGATCAGGCTAATGTAGGTGATTTACAATAAGGGGAAGCTGCAACCAAGCCTATGATCTGTAGTTTTACTGCTCAGTTAAATATATTTTCATAACACTAGTGCTTTTATTTAAACATGCAGTGTCGTTGTAGCTGCGTCAGTCCCAGGATATTAGAGACACGAGGTGGATGAGGTAATCTCTTTTATTGGACCAACTTCTGTCCAACAGAAATTGGTCCAATAAAAGAGATTACCTCATCACACCTTGTCTCTTTATTTAAACACAACCTCTTTAATGTCAAACATGGACTTCATCTGGGGAAGGAGCTGCTGCCTCTGTGAGATGGCTTAGCGGGTTCGGATGTCTTCCCCGTGTAATTCCACCAGTGGCCGCTGCCTTCGTTGGTGGAATTGCAGACTAGGCAAACTTTGTCAGGACATTGCTTCCCTGCTTACTAAATGATTTGGTGTTTGGGGAATGATGGGCTCCTCCCCACATCTACTGCAACAAGGGAAATATTTTTTTTAAAACGCGCCTGGTTAAGCAGCTTGGGGGCCCCTAGCGAAATGCATATCAGCAGGTGAAGAACATGAGTCTCCTCACTCCCCCTCCCCATACAGGGAATCTGTCATTCATGCCAAAAGGTCATCCCTTCTGGCAGAAAAACCATAACAGTTTATTGTGGGGACTTGCACCTGTTGCAGGCTCCCAAGGGCCTGTCAGGAGTGGGATTCTCCTAAAGAGCAAAGATCACATGATTTTAAAAAATACCAAGGCCAGAAGGACCACACCCCTTTGAACTATAACAGGGGCTCTTTCTGGTCCCTTACATGTATCTCAGCCCTACACGGTGGAAATGAAGTTAGCTCAGTTTCACTTTCATTCAGTGTAAAGTCTTTTTTTTTAATGAAACTTTGTCAATAAAAAGATTTTCATTTGTCTTAGTCAGCTACAGTTAAACCCTTTCTGCCTTTCTATAGCATTTACTATTAAAAAAAATTAATATCTACTGAATAATATATGGTATAAAACCTCAGTGGTATGCAGCCTGCCTTTTCTAACCAGTTATTCATGAACTCCTGCTTATAGTTAAATCCCCTTTAGCATACATGTAACAAGTGACAACGGTGCTTGCCTTGAATAGAATAAGGACTTTTGCAAAATCCAAATTCAGTATCTCGCTTACTCTTCTGGGCCATTAGAACACGCAACGCTCTACTAATTCCAAAACCAAATGTCTGTTGGTTGCCTGACCACCCCCAGCCTATGGATAGCAAGTTGCCAGGACTCTATCAAAGGAGATGTTAGCAGTAAAGTGAATCGAAGGTGGTGTTAACCAGCAGGCAAATCATTCTATTAAAGCAAAATGTTTCAGGTTAATTTCCGATAGCACCACTAGTTGAGATTTGGTTAACTTTGGGGGAGGAAAAATACTTTTGATGAAGTTTAAAACAAAACAAAAAATCTGCGTTAGGCACTTTTGTGGGGAGGCGGGTTGGGTTTGGAAGTGCGAGGATACTTTTCGAATGAAATCGCTAAACAAATAAGGGATTACTTCTACATATGTCCAATATCCAATATATAGCGCTATTTTCTTTCGTCCTGATTCACTTCTTAAACCATTATTTCAGAAGAGCAGAAAAATAACCAAATGCATTTTGTTGTACAGTGTAAAAAAAAATGTTTAAAAGCCTAATAAGACTTCCCGAATTCAAGCCTGCTAATTTTATTATTCTTTTGGGGGAAATATATGCACATATTTAGGGCTGCTTGTGCTTTAGCTACGTTTAAATTGTTTTGATGGCTGTTAATTGAATTCATCATAAAGACGATTAGGATATCTTTTCCTGCTGCTTTTAAACATGAGAACTTAGTTTGTACATTAATGTAGAGCTAAAATACTGCACAGCTAAGGCAGAATCATTGTATTCTCTCTCTCTCTCTGTCCCCTCTATTCTCCTATCCAATCCCTTTCTCTCTTTTCTCAATTTCAAGCTCAGTCTGCTTTGCTGGCATCTAGTCTACTTTTTTTGAGGTGGGGGGGGGAGGTACAAACAAATAAAAAAGAGCAGTTGGCCTCTACCCTTGTTAAAAAACACAAGTGGACAGCAAGCTTTCTTCTGGCGTTGCCTTTCAAAGCCCATGCCGCAGTCAGCATATTGAATATTTAATGTCCTGATGAGCATTTCCACCTGCTGACACAGGCAAAGTGACAGAACAATACACGCACTGGAACAAGATCATCAATAGACTCCCCGGTCAGTCTGCCATGTCAGGCATTTAAACAAATTTCTGTCTGTCCTTCTCCCTTTTTTTACATTGGGTCACACATTGCTCCACTGAGAATGATCCCCACCTGAAATACATACTTCTTTACATTCCATAGCTTGCCAGGTTCATATGGGCATATAAAGAAGTATGTCTCTCAAGCAGGTAGTTTCAATATGTGCATTTATATGTTCACAGGAGAAAATAGCGCTGATTCAGAATTCACATCCCAAGAGTGTTCAGTTAAGGCTCAATTTAAAATAGCAGAGTTTCTCTTTCCTCCGGCAACACACACGCACACTTTCCCCACCTCAGACTAATCTCCAATAATCCATAGCTGCTCCCCTGCAGGTTTCTGATTTTTTGTCACCGAGAATAGAAATGGACACTACATTGGACAAAAAGTCTGAGTAATCTGGCAATTTGCCCCTGACAATGCTTCATTTTCACATAAATGGGATGGGGGGCTGTAGGGGGAAGCAAAAGAAAACAGAAATCCCATCCAGTTCACCTGAAAAGTAGATATTTCATTTGAAATCCGAAACTTTCAACTACGAAAAAAAATCAGAGAAATCTCTCTCTATATATATATATCTCTTACTGGAGGGATTTCTTTTCTTTTTTCTCCAAAGCCACTAGAAAAAAAAACCTGAATTGTTTCCATCCCAGGATTTAGAAACAACCGCAGCCAATTTGGGGTATATACCACCCAAAAAAATCAGATGTCTGGTAGATAACTTACAAATCAACACCAAGCTTGCCTGTTCCATTCGCCAGGGTTAGAAAAGTCATCAGTTACAGACAAAGAATTGCTTTTATCAATTAGTTGGGGTTAAAACATAAGAAGAAGAAAGGATCTTACCTAGAGACTCCAGAGATTTTTCCTTTGCAGGTCATTGTAAGTGAAACACTACCTTGCAGATACGAAACCCCGGAAAGAAATGACATGCCTTTTGGGGCTTGGGGGTTGGCTTTAAAAAAAAATTTAAATGTCATCCAGTTGAACTCCATGACAGCTGAAGATGCCTGTAACATACCTGCAGATATGCAAAATAAAAAACAGAATGGGGCAGCCAAAGGTAGATGCCAGAAAGCATAGGCCAGAGTGGAAGTCTGCAAGTTACTCCTCAAGCAACTCCTCTGCATGCGTGTGATGTGTGTGTGTGTGTGTGCGTGTGTGTGTATGGCTCTTTCTCCTGTTTGCATTAGTCAGTCGGTCTCTTTTTTTTCTTTCTCTCTCTCTCTCTCTCTCTCGCTCTTCTCCCTCATTGCCTCACAGCCACTCTGAGCTTTAAAGCTCCCCTAACAATGTGGTCCGAGTGGCAGTGCTGAAAATGATGATTGTACTGAATACGAGACTATTATGGGCAGGCTTTAGGCATCAAGCAAACCAGGAGGTCACACGGGGCGCTTAATGCTCATTCAGCATTGCTGTAATGGTATGCTTAGCTTGTCCACTCACCTGCTTCATTTGACTGCTACCCCTAGCCCGAGCCGGCAGATCAATACCAATTTACAGGCAAATGCAGAATGGCTGCCTTAGTGTTAATGAATTTTACCGTTTCTCACAGTCTTCTAATGAACCCTTTAAAGAGGGTTTAAGTAAACTTAGCAAGTGGCAAACTAAGCACTTTGGAATACTTAATTGTATCGATGTTTTTCCACTGCATTTTAGAATATAACTGTGAACTGGGAAGTAAATATTTCCCAGTTCCCAGTCAACTTCTATCACCACCGAAAAGAAACAGAGTGGTCCCACTATGCCAGTGTTTCGGAAGGTTAATTACTGTGAAGCCCTGGAAGTCACTTTACTCCTGCCGTGTTACACTGCTCACGTGCTTTAGTCCGATTTTGTTTAACATCTTTTTTTGATTCCTTTTTGTTTGTTTGACTTATCACTTATTGTTATTTGTCTAATTTAAAGGCAAATTTCAACCTTTTGGGACTAAAGAGAGATGGACCTGTAACACTATCAGAATGCACAACTGCAGGGAAATTAAGGCAGGAGAGAGAATTAGACACACCAATAGTGTGAATGAACATCTGATTGCTCTGATTTCAGGAAAAATCAGACACTCAGGGAGAGTTTTCCATGGCCGAGACATTCAGTTGAATTTTGTTTTCCCTTGTCCCAACAACAGTAAATGTAAGTGTGGGAAGAAGGATGGTTACTTAATTTCTTCGACCTCTAAAACATTTGTAATCGACATATCATTAGCTTTCCCTAAATAAATGTTGATGTATGCTCTCCTGTACAGTCCCAAACTTTTGAAGATGAATTGGACACCAACTAAAGGATAATAAGGAGAATCTTGCATAAGGTATTTAAAAGTAATGGGTTTAAAACTAAAGATTAGGAAAAGAACCCCTATCGAATGACTTATAAAAGTCAAGGCAAGTTTATCCAGTCTTGCTGAGGACAGCAAGTGGCAGTTGGTTTTATACTAGTAACACCTGGGTGGAAGTGTATTTCATTTTTGTTAATTCACTTTCAGGGTCTTCATGGAAATTCATGTTTTCCAAAAATGCCCCTTTTTAATTTTTTTGGCATAGTAAAAAATATCCGCACCCCTGTTTTACATTTCGTCAGGTCATGTTGTGTTCCAGTTACCCAACTTTCCCTCCCTCATCTGAGCTGGTTTAACTGTCTGTTGATTCATTCAGAGTGGAAAATGTTGCATGCTGATTGGGGGCATACAAATCTTGGGAAAGGGAAATCCTAAATTGTTGGTGTCATTTGACAAAAGAGGAGTGCAGAGATGAGGAGCTGATGAAAGCAAGGAAGACAGCCTGAGCTAATGGAAGTGAAGTTAAATGTGGGAGGGGAGAGTACGAAGGGGGGGGAGGGATGACATGTGTTCATGCTCACAGGGCTTTCCTCCTTTGCCTCAGACTCTATGTACTTGTCTAGTCATTTTACAGAATTCTGTCTGCAGCTGGACAGCACCGAACTTTTTGGAGCTGCAAAGAATGGGAGATGCAGGAGAAGGTCTTTATTCATGGGGGCAGTGGGGAGAAGTGAGAAAGGAAGTTGAAATGAGGTGGAAGTTTGTGTTAGTTCCAGCCAAGCCCGCCCGCAATCCGTTCTGAACAGTTTAGATTAAATTGAGTCACTTTCCAAAAAATGTCTGAGGCATAGACGATATCATCAGTTCAGGAGAAACCCAGCAATTAAAATGACAGCACAAATCAAGGATTTCTGACTATACAATTACACATGATTGTACATTCTTCAATCTCTAATACATACACACACACACACACATAGGCATATTATATATACACAGATATAATATATATTGTATTCACATAATATATATTACATATTACATATATTTATATAATGTGTATATTAGTATATATATACACACACACTATGCAATATATCTCTACTGTGCATATATATATAGATATTTATCATTATATGTGTGTGCATGGGTGTGTGCATATATACACCACTATAATAAAAAATGTAATGACCACAGTCAGCTCTTTGCTTCAGAAGCAAGAATAGTCAATTGGCACATGAAGTGTAACCTGCATTTTAAATTCCTTGCAGTGAAAATATAACTTCTCTTCCTCTGACTTTCCTTTTCTGATTGTCCATAACCCACATGTCTGTAATTAATACTCGCTACTCAGCATTTCAATGGTTAATCACCGCAGTGTTGAGATCATGGCAACTTAGGGTAAGTTTAAACACATTTCAGCGTTGCTCTTGTTGGTATTATTTCAGCTCGCAGCTACTGGGTATTAAAAAAAAAAAAATTCCCCCAGGTGTCATTAGCCAGCCCATATCAGTATTAGGCATTTAAAGGCTGGTTTAACCTTGCAAAATGATTGCATGTCCAAGTTCTGACATTTCAGTTCAGATTATTCTAGTCCAGGGCTTTAGCTTGCGCTGCAGTTTGTTTTTTTTAAATGCGGAGTATGCCACAGCAGAACAAGAAAAAAAGGTCTCCTAACCCACCCACATATTAAAACACACATTCTGTACACAAACACACAGTCAACAGAGCAGAGGCACACATTGAAGTCCCTGGGCCAGTTTGATGGGCACCGAGTCCTGCATTAGCCAGGAAAGTGTTTAAAAACAAGCTGAGCTGGTGCAGTTAAAAGAAAGACAGATAGGAGAGGGGGGGGGGAAAAAGACATACCAGTTAGAAGATTCTGTTGCAGCAGTGGAGTCACCAGAGCACTAGCTGAAAGCTGAATCAGCTTTCGAGAGTTAGGGATGCATAGAGGAGGGTCATGGAATCACAAGGTAATAATGCGCTTCATGCTGCAGCCGTCAGCCTTCTCCTTAGAGCCAATCTCTAATGCAGGAAGGGAAAAAGAGAGCAGGCCCCGTAATAGTATTAGCCCTCACTTGGAGAGAAAAAAAATTATGAGGCAACCCCCCCCCCATACACACCCCCTCCAACAAGCACCACTACAACTCAATCCCTCCTGCTGCATCGCAGGCTTAGTGGGGGGTGGGGGGGGAGGGAAGGGAAGGAGGGAGAGCTTTAAAGCTTACAGCTAAGGCTAAGACACAGCGCTAGAGAGAGAGAGCACTGAAGAGCACAGGCAGAATAGAAGGTTGAAGCAGGAGTTAAGGAGAGGCAACCTTCCATGCTCAGCTTGCCGCACACCTTGATGCATAATGGCTGTGTCTGCAGAAGTCTCCCATCTCCCGCCCTTCCTCTCTTCTCTTCCCCCCCCCCCATGCCCCTCCAAAGGGTCAGCCTGAGGTAGAGGTCAGGATGCAACCAAGAGCACGCATGACAAAAAAAAAGGAGGGGGGGGGCTGCTGCACAGAGTCTGGGGGGGCGGGGGGAAACCTCTGATCAGGAAACGAGTCCACCTTTCCAGTGCTTATATACCCAGCTAAGCATCTGAAACATGCACTCCCAGGCAAGTGGCCCCTTTTCATGCCATTGCCTCCCTGACCATATTTAGTCAACCATGGCAAAAAATAGCCTGTCAGCTGGAGACGGCGGAGCAGGGAGTATTTGGAGTTCAATCACTTCTCTCAGCCCATTGACTACTAGTCCTGCAGGGTCCTGACTCTGCCTTTTTTTTTTTTTTTTAACCCTCAGCTATTTTTAGCTAGGCCAAATAGAGAGCCATCTCATCTTACCACTCTCTGCCTGTCCCAAGGTTTCACCAGGCCCAGACTATGTATGGTAAGCGCTGTTGTTGAAAGACAGAGACAGAGACCATGTCCATTCCGAAAGACCTTTGTCTCCCCTCAGGGTTTTTGGTTGGGTTTGGGGGGGGAGGGGTTGCCTCTCTTTCTTTGGTTCCTTTTTTTCCTCCCGGGTGGAAACCTATCCGGAAGAGGAGGTGGGGGAAAGAAGTTGAAAGGCTATTGATTCTTACCTTAAAGAGAGAAGAGCCGTGATTCAAAAGCACCACATTAAGACAGACTCCCTGACTGTGAGATCCCAGGCACTTCACCGGCTGGCCGAGTCTCTCTCCATTCTGACCCTTTCCAGGCTGCTGGCCCCCGGGGGAGCGTGCACTATCTGTTCCTCACGTTGGGGAATGTGAGTAAGCTCAACTTTAAGCCGGGGAAAGTCAACCACAAAGGGTGCCCTGTTAATGCATGTAATAACTGAACAAGCTGGTATCTCTCAGGGTTTTTGTTCATGCTAGTTTTTTGGCCCCAATGAAAAGTCATCATCCTCGTTAATTTAAGGTGAGGTACTTACACAAAATGTGAGCATGTTGCATTGACTTGCTCTCCTGAAGTGAGGGAAGCAAGTGGGTGATCTGAGATTTCAGGGCCCCTTATAAGATCCAGTTTTTAAAAAGATCAATATGAGGATAGGACCAGGTCACCTTGGGGAGAAAACATAAATAATGATCAATGTGACTCTGCCTGTTCCTAATGAATCTGCCTTGTTTGTTTGCAAGCAAAACCCCAAATCTGGACTTTTCACTCATCTAATGATCCTCTTCCTCCTCCCACTTCCCCCATGCACAATTACATTTCACTTAGCAGCTCTGTATAATTCAGACTTGGCTCTAAAGGACATGCCACTTCTTCACACCCGGAATGGATCATAAAGGCTCCTAGGGGATCAGTCTCCGTTGTGTGATTTGGAATTGAATTTGATAGCATCTCACATGAGTCGAACCCATGATTCTGAAAACCATCCATGAAAAAACAGAAATGTACCTGTACCTGCAGTATGATGGGCCCGATCCTGCAAGGCGCTGAACTCCCTCAGTTCCCATGGCAGTGAGACGGCTGGCACCAGGCAGGAAGTGCTTGGCACCTTGCAATGTCAAGCCCCATATCCTGCCATAGGAAAAAGGGAATGAGGGTCAGGTGACTTACTCCACCTTTTATTCATTATCATAATAGCATCAGTGGAGATTTCTAACCTACAGGTAAATAAAAATATATGCAATTAATAGTACCCCGTAACGATCTAACAACTTTAAAGGTTGCTTAATAACCCATTTAACAGAAGCAGCAGAAACCCATACAGTTATGCAGCAATTGTAAATGCTTTATATTATTGATCCTAATAGATGTCCTCAATTGATGTTGTTGATGAGAGGCTATAAGAAAATACTATTCAGAGACTGTTGTGTTTGTAGGTAGCTGATAGCTTTGAACCTACCCTGCACTCACCTGAACTGATATGAGGTGCTGAACATCTGCTCTGAGGTCCTGAACATACCTCCATTCCTATTGACTTCAATGCTTGGTAATGCTCAGGGTCACGCTCAAAAGCATTTCTTCCTGAGGAACCCAGCACATTTCATACAGAGATGAATTATTAGTTAAAATTTGAGTGATGAGCTACACAGGGTCAAATTCTTCTCTAAGTCACATGAATGCAGCCTCATTGCCTTCAATGGCTTGTGCCGTAAAGGTGAGATAATAGGAGAGAGGCCAAAACTAACATGTGTGGCTGACAAACCACATCTGACCCCTGTCTCTTTCTCTTAGGCCCTATGGCCCACCCTCTGGCTGCCAGCCTGAAAGCTGCCCTAATGGGGCAGCTAGGTATTGCCCTGGCATTAGAATATCCCTGTGTGATATAAAGCCAGTATAGTCAGTTCATCACCACCTGCTTCCAGGCTCCCCATGATAGAGATATGGGGAAGCAGGAAAGGAGCATGACCATAGCATGCTGTATCCTGATGATCCTGAGATGGCAGAAGTCACTACTATCAATGTAATGTAGAACATCCCAGAGGCTGCTCTAAGTTATACCAGGGGCCAGACCTGCCCCCAAGCCAGCCACAGGATTCGGAGAGTAGAAAGGTAGCTTAGAGGCACCTTTCTCTCACCTTTCCTCTCAGGTCTTGGTCAAAGAGAGCTCAGCAGGATGTGAGGATCTGACCCCAGAAGTCTAAATTCTCTCTATGTATATTAAAGGTTTCACCAGTCTCAACAGAGTGCTCATTTAACTTGAGAATTGCTAGCAATACTCAGAGAAGAGGGATTCCCAAACCCTCCATGCTCCCCTTAACACATACACAAACACACACACACCGATCGTCTGTGGGTAGATTTGAACTTGGAGACACGTTTTTAGATGCCCCCAGCTGCACAGAAGCTTCAAAAGCATCGTAGGAACTGTATGGCGTACATATCCAGTGCACAACCAGTGCATACCCAGGGCACAACCAGTGTAGACCTTCCAAAGGAGGATACAACACAACTCTGTGAGCTGTAGACATCTCCTGGTGCCTCTCCTGAAGTTGCCAGGGAGAGAGGATATGGGCAGTCCAGGGCCGTGCACAGCAAGAACCACTAGGCGAAAACACATGGGTTTGTTAGGACACAGGGGAGTGAGGGAGCTAAATCTGTTGTCTTTCTCCTTCCTCTTCTATTATCACATAGTAGCATCCACAGCCTGGCAGCATATCACTGACCAGTTGGGTCTAAAACAACGTTTCTCAAATGTGGCCACCGTGGCCGCATGCGGCCACAAGTGACTTTTCTTGTGGTGACAGCCTCCTGGGCAGTGATTGGGGGAGGGTGCGGGGGGAGGAGAGGGGTCAGCAAAGCAGCGGCCCCCTCCCTCAGGGCCGCCAGCAGAGGTTGGGCCCTGACCACCTCTGGAGACACAAAAGCTGGAGGAACAGATAGCCAGTGAGTTCCCCACCTTCCCAAGGCTGGTGGGGTCAGGCTCCAGCCCTGGGATGGCAGGTGGCAGGCTCCAGCCATAGGGCTTCAGGCTCCATATCCCTGCCATACAATAGCGGGCTCTGGCCCCAAGGTCACTCTCCCCCATCACCCCTGGCCCCTGCTGCCTCCATATCCACCTCCCCATCCAGGGCTTAATTTATCCCTAGGCTTGCCAGGGCTGAGTAAGTCTGCTGTGACAAGTGATATTTGTATGTTACTTAATATCACTTTTCAGAGGAGACTTAGTAACTAGGAAGTCTAAAAAAAAAAAATAACAAAAAAAAAACCCCAAAAGCACAAGAGATAACAAGAAAAAAAAATCGGAATGTGCAAAGCACCTTATTTGTGTTTCTATTCTGTTTAGGTTCAGTAAAGAATAGAGACAAGTGTACATTATTTTTATTATTGAGTCTGCAAAAAAAAATCCTACATAAATAAATTACAATGATATGGAAATGTGAATGTTCATATTTGTTTGTTTTTCCTAAAGCTAATTAAGTATTTTTGGGGAAATTGTCAGTGCAACCACCAGCAAGAGTTGGTGGCTGCACTCTGAGGCCACCAAAAAAACTCTTGTGAGAACCCCTGGTCTAAAGGATGTTTTCCCAGTCATGGCCTTATATGAATAAAAGCCATTTCTCCAAAGAGGAAACCAAAGAGATTTTTGTCCAAAACTCCAACCCAAACTGATATAAGGTTTTGTAAACTCTCAGATCATTTTTGCCACCTGATATCATTCATTTCTGTACAACTAGGATAGGTGTCACAAGTGACAAGAAAGGTTGTTCTCATGCTGTTTTCAGCCCACTGCAGAAGCATAAAATAGACAAAATTCCATGAGAGAGACTTTAATCAGATCTCCATCCTAAACTTGCAGGCCCATCTACTATTAGTTCCATGTATTCGCCACTAAAAGAGCGGAGCTAAATTGTGGAGCTTTCTTGAAGATTAGTGGTTGTTTGGTACCTGAGGCCCAGTAATACCATCTGTTGGCTTGAATCAGCTGTGGGCATACCACTAACAGACATCTGAGGTTGAGAACACACCCTCATGCCATGAACTGCAGCAATTATTTAATGGAGGTGGGCCCCAGTCAAATCCCCAGAGCAAAAGACACATGTACTTTTGGAGTGCACACAATCCAAACCTTGATTAGGATCTGAAGTTGCACATGGCCCTCTCTTCTTGTATAATGGACAGAACCAGAATCACAGATCCAATCACCCTGAATGATACGGTGTTTGACATCTGGATCCAGAACCAAAATGGGTGGCATGAGACCATCTCTTTTCATACGGTTCTGGTCATACATCTGTTCCATGCATAGATAATGGTGAGAGTTGTGTGCACAGAGTGCCTCCAGAGATACGGACCTGAATGTGCAATATACTGTGCTGTGGTAAGTTATAAAAGAACCAAACACTTTCAGAGTGTGTGTGTGTGTGTGTGTGTGTGTGTGTGTGTGTGTGTGTGTGTGTGTGTA